AAGACTCTCCATCCCCCAAACACCCCTAGTCTCCCCCCCAAAAACCCTCCCCCCAGGTCAACGCTCTTCCTCCTTTTCCAGGCTGCAGAACCAGCAACTGCCTGGAGACCCTCCTGGACTGACGGCCTTCCTGGAGCCGCCAGTCGCCCGGAGCCCATGGAGCATCTTCGGCAGGTGGGCTGCCCTCCCAGCTTCCTTCCTTCCTCTTAGGCCTGGCAAGGGGAGGCTTTGTGGCCGATATGAGGGAGCCTCGTGCTCGGAGGGGAGCCGTAGTTCTGGGCTTTTAAATCCGGCGGGAGGGTAAAATTCAGGCAAGTGCCAAGCCCGGAGGGGGAGGGGTGGCTGCTGTGGGCTCCGAAGCAGCTTTTGGAAACCACGGTTTGATTCCCGGCAATGTCAGCTGCTAAATGCTGTGCTGGAGAGGCTGACCTGTCCCTCCTCTTTCCCTCCCTCCCTCCCTTCCTTCCCTCCTTCCCAGGCCTCCTGAAGAGCAATGGCAGCTGCCTCACCCCTGACCATCTCACCCTCTGAACGGAAGGTCCCCTTCGGCATTGCAAAGTCTCCCCGCTGGCCGCCACTCCCCAGCGTTGCTATGCATGTCACCCGGCCAAAATCCGCCAAGGGGCGCACCCGGTCCAGCCTGAGCTATTCCCAGAGCCTGGGGGCCTACTCCTACCAAGTGCCATCATCCCCGCAGCCAGTCGCCACCCCCGGGGAGGAAGCGGTCAGCAGCCGGAGGGCAGCCTCCTCCCAGCTCATCCAGGCGCTCCCGGCCGAAGTGCCGGACCTCCTCCAGCAAGTGCCCACCAGGACCTCGTCTTCCCTCAACAAGTACCGGGTGCTGCCGTCCATCAGCAGGAGGGAACGGAGGATGGGCACCGCCGAAGTGATGTTCGAGCAGGCGGGTCAGCTCCCAGCCGGCGCCTCCGAGGAAGAAGAGGTGCCGAAGGGGCCCCCCTCTCTCCTGCTGGAACACAAGGGGGGAGGCGGGGAGTACCCCCAGCCCCCCTTCACTCCCTTGGAGAGGCCTCCGCCGGCTAAAGAGAGGGAAGGACGCTCTGCCCCCACGCTGGCCCTCAACCTGGAGGAGCCCCGCGAGGAGCCCCGGCTGCTGCTGGCCATCCGCTCGCCCTCGGGGGAGAGGTTCGAACGCTACTTCCGGCCCACAGACAACCTGGGGACGGTGGTCGCCGTGGCCGAGCAGAAGAACACGGCCACCTACCGGCGCTGCAGGATCGGGACGGTGGAAGTGCCCCGCAGGACCTTCTCGGACCTCAGCCGGTCTCTGCAGGACTGCGCCATCCACCACAAATCCGTGCTGTGCATCCTGCTGGACGAGCAGCAGGGGGAGCTCTGAGCAGCCTCGCATTAACACCCACCCCACCCCACCCCCTCGGAAGGAAACCCAGCCCCTTCCCAGCCTCCCTCTGCTCTGCCCCTCCTGGGACCCTCACTCGCCCAGGTCTCCCTGCTCAGCCAAGGGGAGGGCCGGGCCTTTGCTTTCAGGCGCCCTCTGTCCCTGGGAGGGCCCACCTCTCCCCCCCCCCGCCCCCAATCTGCATTCCACCAGACAGGCAGGGGGCGGTTATGGCTTCTTCCCCGTCCCTCAGGCCAACCTTCCCTTCCTTCTCCCTTGCTGGGCCTTCCCTCCCGGTTCAACGTGATTTGGACCTAGAAGGGTGCCAAGGAAACCGTTCCCAGCCAGTGCAGGGCCAGCAGGAGCTCCCACGACTGTGCTCCAAACCCCCCCTTGTGCAGCTTTGGTTGAAGGAAGGTGCCGGTGATCCTTTTTTGGGGTGGGGGGGAAGAGTGAAAGCTTTTGCACAAGATGGGAAGACGGGCCCTTGGCTGAGGGAAGCCCCCCCCCCCCCTGATGTTCCCCTCTCAAGGCTCCTGCCGCGTTCTGGTGAGGGGGTGGCCCTAGATAAAGACTCCTTGCTCAGCCTTCTCCAGGTCTCTCTCTGCATTTTTAATCAAATTTCTTTTACAAGATTATGGCACAAATTAAGTCTGGAAGGACCCTCCCCGAACGGGCTCCTTCTCCAGTGTAAATTTGAAATTCAGTGTTGTTTCTGGCAAGAGGTTCGGAGCCCTCGGCCGCTCGGGTGCCCAGGCAGCCAAAGACAGTCGTGGGAGTGGGCCTGCGCTTCGCATCGCCGCCTTGCGTTCTGCCTGGGGAGGGGGGAGGGCTTTTCCCAAGGGGCTGCCGCTGCCGCTGCTGCGTTTTGAACCAAGAAATCAACTTGCTTTGATTAAGAGTGGCCTGTTGGTGTTATCAAAAATGCCATTTTTTTTCTCCTTAACTGTATTTGAAGGTTTTAAAGAAAAAAGCTTCTCTGTCAGCAGGTAAGAGTTTGAACTCTCGGTATTCTGCACCACGAGACTAAATGCTAAAAGAGTGGAGAGCTTGCCAAAAACAGTCCGTCTTCTGAGTGTTGATTTCTTAGCCCCGACAGGCCAAAGGTCGCTGGCAGGCAGGCAGGCAGGCAGGGAATTTCCCAGGGCCTGGCAGCCTTGAGCTGCGCTGGTGTCCAGCCGCCGCCCAGCTGGCCCTGGGGCTCAATTCTCTCCCTAGGGGACATGGAGAGGGTGGGACACCCAACATGGAAGGTCAGTACTGGGGAGGGGCCAGGTTGCCTTGGCCTGCCTGCTTCAGCTCTTGGGGGAAGGAGACTGGCGAGGCAACCTGGCGTCGTGCATTGCCCAGTCCAAGTGGGCAGCTGGGAAATGTAGTCACCTGGAGGCCACCTAGTTGGGGGAAGGTGGTAGAAACAACCCTAGGACCGGGGGGGGGGGAGGGGGCAGAGAACATCCCCACAACATGACTGGGTGCTGGTTTTTATGCCTTCTACCCCCTGGCACAGAACGGTTGGAGCAATTGGAAAACTACCCCCATGGATCTCCTCGGGAAGAGAGGTGTTATGTGTGGACCCGTTAAGGGAAGGGGGAATAATGGCCCTTTTTTTGCACTCGGTTGGGGAACCCCAGGGAAGGTATTCTGAGGAAGAATATATACAGGCTTTAAAAACACTGGCAGGTGAATTTAACCCTAAATATTTGGGCTTCAGCTTTGATGCCCATTTCAGTCCCGCTTCCAGTCGGTGGAGCAAGCGTGGGAAGATGGGGGGGTGGGGTGTAAAGAAAACGAATGAGGGGCTTCAGGGTGGTGACGTCATTGGGCTTAGAGTGGGGTAAGGGAGTTGGGGGTAACCCCTAACTCTAACCTCTTCATTTGGGCTCTTTTTTTGGAGCACTGTTGATCCC